GTGTGTGTGTGTGTGTGTGTGTGTGTGTGTGTGTGCGCGCGCGTGTGTGTGTCTGCATGTGTGTGTGAGGTAGAGAGGGAGCTTTAGAAAAGGGGGAGGGGTGTGTGTTTGTGCGTGCATGTGAGCTTGGCTAGAGAGAGGATATTTGTGTGTGTGTGTGTGTGTGTGTATGTGTGTGTGTGAGTGTGTGAGTGTGTGTGTGAAAGTGTGTTTGCATGCCTGTAAACCTGAGAGGGAGGGGGAAGTGAGTGTGTGTGTGTGTGTTTGAGAGAGAGCCTGTTTGTGTGCTTGTGTGTGTGTGTGTGTGTGTGTATGTGTGTGTGTTTTTGAGAGAGAGCCTGTTTGTGTGCTTGTGTGTGTGTGTGTATGTGTGTGTGCGTGTGCTTGTAGGCCAGGGAGGGGAAGAGAACTGTGTTTGTGTGTTCACATGTGTAGTGTGTGTAAGCTCAGTGTGTTTGTGTGCGTATATATGGGTCCAGAGGATGGACTTTTTGTTTGTGCGTTTGTCAGTGCATGTGGGTTGGTGGGAGGTAGCTGTGTGTGTTGTTTTGAAGAAGGGAGAGAAACGGTCAGGAAGAATGAGAGAATCGATGGAGGAGGAACAAAACGAAGGAGGTATGGGGGGGGGGGGGGGGTTGGGGGGGCCGCTCAGTCAATAAATTGGGGGGTTTTTTTTTTTGTCTTCAAAAATTTCCTGGAAACCCCCCCCCCCCCTCCCCCCCCCCCCCCCCCCCCCCCAAACACACACACCTACTATGCCTCTCTATCCCTGTGGGGACTTTCCATTGACTTCCATTCATTTTTTTAGACTTTATAGCCAAACCCTGACCATTTACCCTAAAATTAACCTCACAGGTAACCTACCTGACCCTAAAACTAACATAAACTTTGGTCCTAAACCTAACTCCCCACCTGTAATTTACATTTGGACTCGTGGGCATCGGTCCCACGATTCACTTTGGTCCCCACCAGGCTGCTTTTTTTTGGGAAAATTTTCCCCACGTAATAGGAAAAACTCGTTTTGACAAATGAAACTTTTGATAAATAGGGAAAAAGTTCAATCATCTGGGTAATTTTGATTTTAGTTGGATAATTTATAAACAAAGTGTGTCAATTAGAGGTACAGGCTGCCTATAGTTTTGAAAGTATGGTATTTACTTTTGGTGTTTTCCAGGACTGATGGGTGTGCAAATTTACAAACAGATCATGAAAAAACATAAATTCCAGACTTTATGACCTATTTTGTTTTTGTAAAAAGTTACAATCTGAGTTTCATTGAATGGAAAAACAAAAACAAAGAATTCAATAGTTTTCAAATTTATTACATATGTGAAATAATGTTTTGAAGTTTTGCACACTTCGTGAGCCTGGCTAAGTTTTTAAAAAATGTTTTATAAATGCCTTTTTTATAACCATATTCCATGTACTTGACATTCAGCTTGTCAGTCAAATCGACATATCGGGGCCTCATTCATTAAACAATTGTTTAATAATAGTATAATAATAATAATAATAATAATACATTTTATTTGAAGGCGCCTTTCATGGCACTCAAGGACACTGTACAGTGCAATAAAACAAAAAGAATAAAGCAAAGAATAAAATAACAATAAAACATCCTCGCTTACATAACAATTAACAAATAAAAACATAGTATAAAACAAAACATCCTACAAAAGGGGCCATAGGGGGCTTAGTTCAGTCTTAAAGACAGGTTGAGGAGCTCCATCATCCAGAGATGGCTCACAGTCGAGCTGCTGATCCACCACATAGAAAGGAGTCATTTAAGGTGGTTCAGGCATCTGATTTGGGACGCCTGTTCCTCTAACTGGGAGAGGACCCAGGAGCAGACCAAGGACTCTTTGTAGGGATTATATGACCTCTCTAGCTTGGGAACACTTTGAGATCCCCCAGGAGGAGCTGGAGAGTCACTAGGGTGAAGGACATCTTGTTTTTTCCTCCTGGACCTGCTTCCTCCATGACCCGACCAGGGACTAGTGGAAGAGGATGAATGAGTGGATAGATGGAATTCGTCAGTCACGAGTTAGTCCAGCCCTAAAACAGAAGCAGCTTTTTCAGTTTTACTCTGATTTGAAAGATAGTTTTATATTTTTTCTCTCAGAAAGCCTTGTTCTGCTGCTCACCTGTACATTTGTAGCACATGTTTATATTAATGCACCATGCATTGTTGTGGTAAGTAGAGTATTGTAATTGGCAGCTCTATTGCAGGAGAACATCTCAGTACAGAGATGAKACCCATTCTCATGTCCTGTTGACTTTCATCATTGCTGACTGCTGTTTATAAGCCAAGATTTGTGTATTTGTTGCAGAAAAAGCCTCACAAAGAGAAAAGTAAGGGCAGATAAGTGAGCTAAATTGAAGGTTAAACACACAGAGACTTGCACAGAGCTTTGTGAGTTTAGATGAGAGTGGACTGGATCTATAGAAAGATATCTCTGCTGAGTATGTCTCCCTCTTTCTGTTCCCCTTTCACTCTGTTTTTCGTCTCCTTTTGTGAGTTTTCTCCATCTTTAATTCTACTGTCTTACTATTCTGTCCCAATACTTTTTATTATTGCATATCTCATTCTTTTTACTCCAGTTTTAGGCAGAAAGACACACATTCATACAAGCACAAACGGTAGCAATCACTACAAAACCCAAAGCATGATCTTCCTCTGGCCTAGTTTCATCAGGCTGTCATGTGGCTGAAACCAGACTGATGGGGAAACAATGCTAGGATCTGCTGTAGCAGAACTAGTTCTGATTCGGCGATCTGTTTGGCTTCTCTGAGCATGGCTGTTTTGGCATGGATTTAGTCTTAAAAAGATAATCTGACTTCATACAAGTGGCTGCGTTCAAGCCCTGTGTGGTCAGAAGTAATCACGCTCGAAGATAAACACTGACTAGGTTGCAGAATGTTACTATCACTGATGTAGTTATTCAGAAAATACATCTTCAGCTGAGTATTTATCAATACAGTGTAATGTTTGGTCTCATTGCAGAGTTTGCTGTGCTTATTGAACCACAACAGTACTGACACTGTAATGAGCAACCAGGTGATCAGCAGTGGAATCTTACTTATTGATTCTTGTTATTTTTAGCCATGAACGAAATTCACTCCTGGAAAAAAAAACAAAACAAAAAAAAAATCAGTTTTATTTATTTATTTATTTTAGCCACACTAAAACACAACCAAACTACAGTAAATTTCAGAAATGTTTTCATCCACAGCAACACAAACAGATCCAACCATCTAKATCTGCTAATCACTGAAACGTTGTTTAGTGCCCGCTAATTGTATTTCCCCTTAATCTGAAGGCCCCAAAAGTGTCTGTCGCTTATGAAAACTTGTAGTGACACAGCTTTGCTCTGCAGATCTACACATATGTGACCCGTCACATCAAAATGAGGATTAAGTCCAAAAGTGGAATGTGGAAAAATAGGCACATATATGGTTTTGATTTAATCGTGTGCAAAAAT